CCCCCCCCCCCCCCCCCCCCCCCCGCTCAAAGTAACAGCATCAAAGGTTATAGGGCATTCTATATATTCTCAGGAAGGTGCAAAATATGGGGAGTCCTGAATGAGCACCCAGCATCAGGACCTAGGCTGAAAGAAAGATCTGTTTGATTCAGAAATAAGCTGTGGACTGAAAAAATATGCTTGTTATATATTAGCAGATGCTCTATCTGTGATACTTACCAAATCAGGGTTGTTGTTTGATTCCAAAGCAGATAGGTGCAGTTTTGAGAAACAGAAGACAAGAAACCTGAGGCGGAGTTTCGATAATCTTCATATACCTGAATGGCAGTTATAAAAATGATGGTGATAAACTCTTCTCTGTGCCTATAGGGAACAGGACAGGAAGTAGTGGTCTTCAATTGTAACTTGGAAAATTTAGGCTGGATGTTAATGAGAGGAGATGAATGATGAGTGTGGTCAAACATGAGAATAGATTAGCTAGAGTGTCTGTGAACCCTCTATTCTTGGAAATTTTTAAGAGTAGGTTAGACAAACTTGTCTGGGATGGTTTGGACTGAGATGATGCTGCCCTGAACAGGGGGTCAGACTAGATGACCTGTGATCCCTATTTTTCTATGAGCAGTGGTAGGGCATGATGCTGGACTGGATAAAACCCACAATACACCCTGGCTACCAGTATTAGCTTCCCCTTCTCTAATTATCCACCCTTGCTACCCCTGTTCTAATTCCATTTGTGACAGCACTTGTGTAGAAAAGCTGCAAGTATTTTAGCTGTTATGCACATGCTCAGAGTAGATTTAAATAATACAATGGGAGAAGAGACCAGTAACCAGGAAGTCCACCATTCCTCCTCCAGCAGAGTTGTCTCACCAACTGTGGGAATATTTATAGGTAAAAAGACTAGTCTTGGCCATGAAATACAACTGGAAGGGACTAAGTCACTGAGTCCATTCCCCTGCTATTACAGACAGTTATGACATGTAGTCTCTATCATAAGGCAATCGAGCTCCATCATAAAAATAGTTAGTTTTTCACCCCTGCTATTCCTATTTGGAAGGTAGTTCAAGACCCTCTTTTGATGCTTAAAGTTTTCTTCTAATTTCCACCTGAAATTTATTCATGGGTAGTTTATATTCATTTGGTTTTTTCCTCATAAATTGTCTGTTAGCTTAAATGTTGCTTCTTCCCTGATGTTTATCCTCAATTCACATATATTTAGACAGCAGGCATGTATCTTCTCAGCCTTCATGTTATTAGGCTAAATAAGCCAGTTTTTCAGTCAAGTGTCACAATATTGGCTCTTAGTTACCCTGATCATCACTGAACCTCTTCAAGTTTGCATTGATCTTCCTTGAACGTGGATGGCCAGAATCTTGCACAGTATTCCAGATGAGGTTTTACCAGTGCCTTGGACAACTACAGTAATGTTTCCGTTTCTTTTAGAAATACTTTTCCTGATATACCTACAATCATGTCACTTTTTAAAGCTGCATCACATTGCTGGTTCATAATCATCCTGTGATTGACTAATTCATCCAGTTCTTCCTTTTAGTCCATTGTTTCCAGCTGATGATCCCTTAGCGATAGA